AGAATCATAGACTCTAGCGTATCTGTTCAAATGACTAGTTCGTCTAGTGTGTTTTCTAATTGCCATTTTGTTGCTTCCACTCAGTGTCATTCTCTCTAATGGTACTTTCTCTAAGGTTTCAAGTTTTGAGAATACTCAATTGAATCTCAGTTTGGCCTTATCATTTATTTTATTTGTCCCTCAATTTCCTTTTAGTTTACTTTATATTAACAAGATTACTTATTCACTTAACTGCTCAGTAACCTTTTATCCCTCTTATTGTGTATTTTAAGATTAAGATTTTCAGACAAAAACAAAGATTGGTACAGGACATGGAGATGGTGGTCTCTATTACTTTGACCATGATCCATCTCCTCGCACACTTCAGATTTCATCATCATCTCCATTTTAGTGGCATAATCGCCTTGGTCACCCATCTCTCTAGAATTTAAAACATCAAGTTCTTAGTCTTAATCATGTGTCGTCCACATCTTGTGAAACTTGTCGACTTAGTAAGCATCACTGTGTGTTCTTTCAGTCTCCAGTCATTAATCGTGTGTCTAGTTCATTTCAATTATTCCATTCTGCTGTATGGGTTCAGTAAAAAATATTTCATCAAATAAATTTTCTTATTTTGTAATATTTGTAGATAATTAATCTTGTGTAACTTGGTTATATCTTATGAAAGCTCATTCTAAATTGCTTTTTATATTTGAGACTTTCCGTAAAGAAATGAAAATTCAATATGGTTGTCTTGTTCGCATTTTACGATATGATAATGCTTGCGAATATGACTCTTGACCCATTTTCTACTCATCTTTATAAGACTGGCATTGCCATCAAACTTCATGTCCACACCCCCAACAAAATGGTGGGGCCGAAGTAAGAATCGTCACTTATTAGAAGTGACTTGTGCCCTTTTATTTCATATGAATGTTCCTCGATGTTTGTGGAGTGATATTTTTCTTACTACTTGTCATCTTATTAATCACATGTCATCTTCTGTGTTAAATCGATATAGTCCATATTTAGTTCTTCTTTCTAATTCTCCATTATTTTCCTTACCTCCTAAGGTCTTTGGGTGTGTTTGTGGAGTGATATTCTTCTTACTACTTGTCATCTTATTAATCACATGTCATCTTCTGTGTTAAATCGATATAGTCCATATTCAGTTCTTCTCCCTAATTCTCCATTATTTTCCTTACCTCCTAAGGTCTTTGGATGTGTTTGCGTTAAAAAATCATCTACTCCAAAAATTTAAATTATTAGAGAGGATATAATATATGTATTTATACTTCAACACACCCTTTGACGTGCAGACTAGATTTTAGGCCTAGCACATGAAAATCTTTTTAACAATTAGGATGACAGTGAGATTCGAACACATGATCTCCTACTCTGATACTATATTAAATAGTTATCTACTCCAAAAGCTTAAGTTGTTGAAGAGGGTATAACTTAAATATTTCTACTTCAACAGTTTGCTATGTTCACAATTGGGATCCTGGATTTGATAAACTCGTCTCTCATGCTACAAAAATGTGTCTTTTTTTGTTATTTTTGCACACAAAAGGGGTATCGTTACTATGGTCCCACATTTCGGAAATACTTCACTAATGTTTGTTCCATATTTCAAAGTCATTGCCCCTTCTATTAATCTGACCTTGAAAAGTCCTTTTCAGCCTCACTTCCTCCATTGCCATATATCATTCCACCTCTTATTGTCCCACCTCCGGCTTTACTACCACCATTCTCTTCTGTTCCACTCCATGTATATTCTCATTGTCCAAGGTCATCTAGTGAGGTGTCCCTATCGTCTTCTTTAATGCCTTCTAATCCTAGTCCCCTTGTTACTTCTGACTCTTTACCGATTGCCCTTTGTAAAGGTATTCAATCTTGTGTTACTAACCATTCTATTACTAATTTTGTTTCTTATAATGTCTTGTCTCTTTTTTATTGTTTTATACTTCAGCTCTCTATATCTCTATTCCTAAGATCTAACCGGGAGCGTTATCTTATCCACGCTAGAGGAAAGCTATGGAGATGAAGATGGAGACGGATTGCTTACATCATAACGAAACTTGAGATCTTATTCCATTAACCCTTGGTAAAAAGACAATTGGTTGCCGATGAGGGTATACAGTAAAATTAAATCTTGATGGCTCAATTGAACAACTCAAAGATGTTGGTTGTCGATGAGGGTACACAGTCAAATTAAATCCTAATGGCTTGGTTGAACACCTCAAAACCCGACTTGTTGCCAAGAATTTTACTCAAACATATGGCATTGATTATGAGGAGACCTTTTCTCCTGTTGAAAAAAATTTCTTTTGTTCGTGTGTTGATTTCTTTGACTGCTAATCTTGATTGGTCTTTATTTCAGTTAGATGTAAAAAATACTTTCTTATACAATGACTTGATTGAGAAAGTCTACATTGAGTAGCCACCTCGATTTACTACTCAGGGGGAGTATCGTAAGAGTGTTTATTGGCTAAAAAAATCACTGTACGATCAAGAATCAAAATTTTGTTTCGATGTATTGTATCGATCATCTAGGAAACAAATGTTTCGACGTGTTTAAGAAACGTTTCGATCCATTTCGAAATCATAATAAAAAAATAAGGAATTTAAAAATTATTTTTCTAAAATATTGGTCAAAATATATTAAAGTATTTTGAAATACCTTGAAACATTCCGAAACAATTGTTCAAATGCATTGAAATATTACAAAACATCTTGAAACATTATAGAATACTTCAAAATATTAAAAATTCGATTCCATCACTAATTAGTTTCGGTCTCCTTAGAAACGAAAACGTTTTGAACGTTTCGACTATTTCAAAACGAAAATTTGATCCTTGTGTACAGTTTAAAATGGTCACCAAGGATATGGTTTGATAAGTTTTTAGAGACAATTTTAGAGCTTGGTCTTCTTAGATGTCAAACAAACCATTCTATTTTCCATAGACATACTGATGCACCGTACATTCTACTGGTTGTTTACGTGAATGATATTATAATTAGTAGTGAATATGTTGAGGGTATTGCAAAGTTGAAACTCTTTTTGCAAGATCAATTTCATACTAAAGGCCTAGGCAAACTAAGGTACTTCTTAGTCATTGAAATTGCAAAATCTAAGTAGGTCATTTGTTTGCCATAAAGAATATGTACTTGACATGCTAGAAGAAGCAAGTTTGCTAAATGGTAGACCAATCAATGTTCCTATGGATCCAAATTAGAAGTTGTTGATAGATGATGGTGTACTATTTGAAAATCCCGATCAATATCGCAAATTAGTTGAGAACCTGAATTATCTCATTATTACCCAACCAAATATTGCATATGCAATTAGCATTGTGAGCCAGTTTATGGAATTCCCTAAAGTATCACATTGGGATGCAATCATTTGCATTCTTCAATAACTTAAACGTGTTCCTAGACTTGAGTTGTTGTATCTAGACAATAGACATCTTAGAGCAAAAGGTTTTACAGACACTGATTATGCTGTTCTCCCTAGATATTGTGTTATCTTAAAAGAGGTAACGTGGTTATATGGGAAAAAAAGAAACATGGAGTGGTAGCATGGTCTAGTGTTAAGGCTAAGTATAGAGCAATAGCACATATCACTAGTGAGCTTCCGTGATTACTACATTTTCTTCAGGAAATTGATTTTCCAATCCAACTTCCCTACAATTCTCTGTGATAATCAGGCAACTATTTGCAATGCTGCTACTCATGCAAGGATCAAAATATCGTTTTGAAACATCCAAAACATTTCCGTTTCCAAGGAGACCGAAACGAATCGGTGATGAAATCGAAATTCTAATACTTCAAGGTATTCTATAATATTTCGAAATGTTTTGTTATATTTCAATATATTTACACAATTATTTCAGAATGTTTCAAGGTATTTCAAAATATTTTGGTATATTTCGACCAATATTTTAAAAAAATAATTCTTAAATTTTTTATTCTTTTTCATTCTGTTTTCGAAACTGGTTGAAACGTTTTCGAACCATGTTAAAACGTTTTCATTTTCTAGGTAATCGAAACAATGCACCAAAATAAAATTTTGATCCTTATACTCATGTATTTCACGAGATGACCAAACATATTAAAATTGATTGTTACTTTAGTCNCCCTCTGAAAGAAAATTCTACCTCTACCACTCCATGGACTAGTTCAACATTTCACTTATTTTGCAGTGAAAGGAGTTATAGGGGTGTCAATCGTGTCGAGTTAAACGATTACGTATCAGGTTAAACGGGTGACAGATGAAAAATATGCAAACTCATAGAGGACATGTTTAATAAATAGGTAAAAAACCTCAACATGAACACAAACCGTTTAATAAATAGGTAACACAACACAACTCGTTTAACCCATTTCATTTTAAACGAGTCATGTTGGGTAGGGTCGAGTTATCATGGTAAACCATCTGATATACCCATTTACCTGTTTATTTAAAAATGCTATAAAACTTTATAAAACTAATAATCTAACAATATTAGATGGCTTATATATTTAAACGGATAAATGGGTTGACAGGTTTCACCCGAACACGACCCCCGTTTATTAAACATGTCTGACAGGTTAACCCGTTTATCACCCAAACCCGTTAAGGTCTCATTCAAACCCGCTTAATTCATGTCATGTCAGACTTTGACAAACCTAGGTTATATATCATTCAAAGTTTCATGCACTAACTCACCTTCCTATTGTCTTCAATAAATGACCTAAGAAAGTAGCGATTATACTTCTCCATATCATCATGAGAAGCCAATACGTTGACCATGTCCTGACCAACAGCTGCACCACAAGATGGATCAGGACATCGCAACATCAAACATCCAGGACCGTCATTGATGGCTGTGGTAATATATCCTGAAACCAGTAAAAATAAGAAGAAAATTTGCTAATGGTAAGTTCAGAACTAAAAGAAAAACAGTTAAAGTTCCATCAAACCAATACATATTGATTAAATGTTGCTCTGCATAAGAAGAAAAAGTTGCTGTAAGATCATATTTAAGGAGAGTAGATATGTAATCATCCAGAATCTACCATAAAAGCATAGAAATGGGCAAAGTAACAAAAATCGCAATGATTCGTTTCATGAATTTTCATGTATCCTAGGCTCTAAAGCTATACTAGGCGGCGATACCAAGATGGGTTCAAAAGAGTGGAAACCTTCTGTATATATTCCAGCAGGAAAAATAACATAGACTTTTGCCTGTAGTGTTTAAACACAGTATCGGGTTACATAGTGGCAACAATCTTGATGTAATAGTGTCAGGAGTTTCAGTTTAAGAATAGCAAGAAACAAATAATGCGGTCGTGAATTCTTTAAATCATTAGCAAACCCTACAAAACTCAATGATATGCAGATGTGGATTCTGTTGACATCAATTGGTCATTTTTCAATCAATGCTGTGACATATAAGAACATGTGTTCTTATTGGATTGATAGGAAAAGTTGGTCACACGTACAAAACCCAATAACACATGCAAATACATGCACCTAATAGAGTAAAAGGAATCAAACCAAATGTATTGATTACAGAGAGGAACATGGTCTAAAGGAGTTCGTTAAACCAAAAATTGGAAACTTGCAGCTCAATATAGTCAACTGCCCTATTGTATAATCTTTCGACTGCTTAAATTGGAGTTTCCAGGTGTGATGAAAGTCGTTTGATACATGCTTAAAGAAAGACAACTGGCCACAGAGATTTACTGATAGAAAGACATAAAATATGGCACACATTGGTCAAGGCTTGGTGTACATAACCAGCCTCATACTAAAATTAAAAAGTTGCAGATAGCTGGTTACCACCACAAGGAGGAGATCCCACAGTGGGGAAGCTTGGATCATCCACTAATACAACATGACACGAGTCCACACAATAGGCGCCAAAATTTGATAAGTCAAACTGCTTTGTACATGAATTTTCGGGAACCTCTCTCTGTCACTCTTGCTCTCTCAATTTCTCTCCTTCTCCAAAACCTACTGCGACCTGACTACGGGCACTACATTTGACTTCCACAAATCCAGGTGTCCATGAGCAGATGGAGCCCGCTTCAGTAATATATCCATCCAACCTATAGAACGGGGATCATTATGGTTCATCACTTCATCCTAAAGCTCCATCCCAGAAAAACAAAACCCGAAACCACCCAATATTCAATCTTTGAAGATTTCTTGCTAAGTCCCACTCCAAGATTAGTCAATGCGTGCAAACACATGTATGGGATGTCGCCTTCCAAAAGTGTTGAAGTACAAGATGTGAGCTGAAATGCACTGTTTCGTTTTATGGTTGTTCCGTAATATGTCTCTTTGGTTCGAATGAGCGTTTTGACTACAGACCATTATCAAGGTTTTAGAATAAGAAGATAGCAACGGTGTTAAAATCCAAATTCCAAACAAAATTTTCTGAGCTTAGTAGGCATGAGAATGTGGGGGAACATGTGCATTCCAAGCAAATAGATTCTCGTAGGAACTTCAAAAAAAAAAAAA